CGGTATTCGAGATGTCCGAGCTATCGCCGCTCGATCTCGGCGCAGCGCTGGGCGACGACGCGCGGCGGACGGCGTGGACCGCCGCGCTCGCGAGCCGCATCGAGCGTCTCCGACGGCAAAGTCCGCTAAGCTACGAAGACTATGGCGCAAATGCAATGTACCTTACAAAGACGACGTGCCATGACGTTGCCATGGACGCACCCAGGTACCACCACCGTACTACATGACTGCCGACTGAAGGGACTCAGCACCGCAGTAGGAGTGGCCTCGTGGATCGTCCGAGCGACGAAGCGGCGCTTCAGCGCGTTCTTCTCGCCTACGCTACGCGCAATGCGCAGATCGGATATTGCCAGGGCATGCACGTCCTTGGCGCCATGCTACTGCGGCATCTGCACGACGAAGCGACAGCGTTTTGGTGCGCTTTTGTCGTCATGGCCTTGGATTCGATGCGTCAATCGACTAGGGCACTGGCCATAGTTCTGGAAGAGCTTATGATCGCGTATCACACGCCCGACATGGCAGGACTCGCCGCCGACCACGCCGTCTTGACAGCGCTCCTGCCTACATTGTCGGCGACTCGGATAGACGTGCGGCGTTGCGCCTCATGCTAGACGCGTAGGGTGCCGGAAGTTGCTGCGCGGCTGACGACTGCGCGGCTCGAGCCGCCAGTGTTTGCGACCAAGTGGTTCGTGACTGCTTTTGCAAATACACTGCCGCTCCGCGTCGCTGAGCGCATCTGGGATGCACTCTTGCTGCGCGTGGCGTCGTCGTCGGCCGACGCTGGCTGCATCTTGCTCGGCACCGCCGCTGCACTTTTGGCAACGCTGGAACTGGCCGACGTTCCGATTGACGACGACCCGGCGCTACTGCTGCAGTACATACAGTCCATACCCGACAAATGCGTGGGGTCTGTCGAGGACCAAGACGCCTTCTTGGCCCGCGCGTTTGCCTTGACCGAGCGACTTTGCCCCTTCGAGGTACTTGACACTTTGATACAAAGCTGATACCCACGGCATGTAGGTGTCGCAACTGAGAGGCGCCTACGCTTGCGAGCAGACAATGCAAGCGGACGCCAAGCGTCGCCTAACTGCGAGTCCGTCGCCGGCTTGGGCCATCGCCATCTATAGCGCCGAGCCGACAAAGTTGTGTCCCCGCGGTTTTTCACGGTGGCGAAAATCGAAAAAGACGCCACTTTTGCTCGACTATGACGTGGCGTTCGCGCCAGGTACACTGCACACTAGTATGCCACGGCAGAGACCGACTCTATGACCCTAGGCGCTCTTGGTCTCGTGCTTACACAAGACAAGATTGACAGTGCGGTTCGTGTGTATGGGTACATCGCGACGACCGCCATCGGGAAACTGTACGCAGCTTGCTGCATCTGGGAAGCTGACGCCATGCTAAAGGTGCAACATGATCCAGCCCGGCGACGCCATCATGTCGGTCAACGGTGTGGATTGCGCGGGCCAACCACTGCTCCATGTACGCCAGAACGACGGTGCTGAAACACCTGGGTGATATTGCGCATGGGTGTAGGTGGTCCATGAGCTCGCAGCACGCACCGATCGGTATCGCATCGTACGATTCCAGCGCACGGTAAAGCGCGCGGTCGCAGCACGGACGACGAAATCACCCATGTACTCGACCGAAGGGCAGGTGCATGCATCGCCCATGGCGCCGACAGCCTCGTTTGCCAAGCTCTTTGCGCGTCATCGTAGTCCCCACATGGCCTAACCCACGACAAACTTCATTCAAAATCAACTAAAACGACAACGTCAAATTGTGCAGTGTTGGGTCCGACTCGGTCGGGTCGAGCGCATCTCGAAAGGCAGCGTTTTCTACATACAGCAGCATCAACCTCCACGACCTTGTCGCGATGCGTACCGGCTTTGAGGAGAGCATCGAGGTCCAGCGTCTTTGGCAATGGACGTGCCAGTGTCAGTAGCATCTCGTGCTACGCCAGAGTCGTCAAATCACTGGATATTGCGCGGCGGTACCTGCGCTTCCAGAAGCGTCAGCATGCGGTCGTTTTGGCGTTGCAGGTGCTGCAGCTGCGCGCGAACGCCGTCCGTGTCCGCGATGACGTCCACTACGAACAATTGAATCTCGCCTCCAAACATCTTGCTCTTGTTTACATACCAGGCAGCGTCTTGAGGATTTTGGCACGGTGCGACGCATCTTGGCTCGGGTATTTGCGCTTCGAGAGGACACAGATTGCTGTTGTAAACACAGGGGCGAGGTCGTCCAAGTTGACAGGGCACTGCTCCACATAGGGCTCAATCTTGAGCTTGAAGCGCTGCCCGTCCTTGCGCCGGCTCACCTGCACCCTGTTGATAGGACCGCCAAATTGGTCAGAGATCCCACCTTCTCCAGTCGAAAGTGAATCGTCGCACTGCGCGTGTCGTCGCGAATCACGATCGCGTCGTACTCGTCGCCAACAAAGCGGAAAATGTCTTGGTCGCTCTCGTCCACACGTTTGCCTACGGATGGCTGAGAACGCGCGCGACATGAAACCGCCATGGTACCCGACTCGTAGTAGAGGCTGACGCGAAGAGGGATCGGGGTGAACGCCCGCGACGACGACCGCACGAGCTCCTTCTTGCAATTGAACTCGAGCAGCGAGATCTCGGTCGTGAGGTAGTTGGAGCGTCCACCTACGCGGCGCGTTCATCCGCATTCTTCGCCTATATCTCGTCGGATCATACCTTCGTCCTTGTAAAACTCGGACGGGGGTTGCTTGGTCACAACCAATCGCCGCGACGTCCCGGCCATTTCCACACAAAATCCAAGAGTGAATTCAACGAAGCCGAGCCCAACGTGATTGAAATCGACTGCATCTACCAGGGGCGCGCGGGTCATGCGCTGAGATGGGCGAGGACCTCGTCCTATGCTTGCCGGTGTTCCGGCCTCGGGATATGATGGCGCGTCAAGCATGGAGCCGAGCATGCTGCTACTTGCTGTCCGACGCAAAGAAAGCGTGGGGATGCGGCATTTCGATTGGTACGTATTCGCTGTTGACGTTGTCCGCGTCCAACGTCTTGTATCGGTGGAGGCTGCATCGATAGCCTTGGCGACAGTGCTGGTCCAGGCCAAGTCGACGAGCTCCAGAAGCGATGAGGCAAAGTCGTCTGGCCGTCATCCGGGCGGTATGTGACTGCAAGGCCGTAGCCGAGCGATCGAGCGCGTCAAGGTACGCCGGCGACACAAGGAGGAGCTGGTATTTGACCTTTTGTGTGGACGATGCCATTTCTGACACTCGCTGAAAACCGGCGGTAAGTACAGAGTGTGGACACCCAGCCCATGAAGCAGAACCTGCTCAGTTTAAGCGCACCCATGACCATGACCGAGGCTTGATGGCAAGGATACATACTATTTTTCAATGCGTGCATGTATAATGCTATTGTACGGGCCATTTCGGATCGCGTATCAGTCGGAGCCTTATATCTCATGAACTACGACAGCTACGAACAATCTACTCTAAAATGCGGTGTACCGAGAAGCTCGCTGCGAGGCGCCTGCGACAGTACCTGGTACCAAGGGTATATAATAAATGTGCGACAGTAATAAATGTGCGACAGTACCTGGTACCAAGGGTATATAATAAATTTATTATATACCCTTGCTGGTACGCATCAGACAAGGGAACATTGTAGATTCAATTGGCGTCCTCTAGATTTCTGATGTTGCGGTGCCGCAGCGCATCCGCCGACGTCATGCAGCGAAATCAGAACTTGATTTTGTCTCGAGAGAGGAGGGAACATTGCTATACAAATGCGCGCGATCGAATCATTCTTGCGGTACACTTGACTCGGAGTCGTTCACACAATATCTAGGAGGACCGGCGCTTCAAATGCAAAGCAGCCACGTACTATCGTTCTTGCTCGGTCGACCAAGCAAGAAAGGTCGACCGCACGTGCGACGCTCGACAGTACGGTGCACTGCAGGCAAGCACGCGATTCGCTATACACACGCAACCACGTCGTCGAGACCCGATGTCGCGTTCGAAACAGGCGTTCGAACCCCTTCGACTGCCAAGGTCTGGATGACGGCATTCCGCCATTCAACCATAGTATACCACTACTTCTAGCTCATGCTACGCTCGCGAGGGTGCGGACCAGGGTGCGGACCGCAACCGTCGAATAATAATGTCCTTGCTGCTGTCACGACACGCCACGTAGAGACGACGACCAACTCGGTGGTGGTGGCATGGAATTTGGAGCTCTTATCGGTGTCATGGCACCGCCGTCAATAATACCGAGCTTACGAGTTTTCTCGGTACCGCTGGTGCCGCTCGCGTTCCGTGGTCGACCTGGTCAGGTGGTGATCGTTGTGTACCTAGGATTGCGTCCGCCTGTCGGCTAGAAACCAACACCGGCGACCGACACATAGAAAGCACTACGTACCGTGGTGCTGCACCGCTCCTCCTCTCCACTTCTCCGGCGAATCGTCGGCCGACGAGGCACGGACTTCGCGCAGGTGCGGACGCTCGATGTGCAAAGTCAGGTTGAAGTTGTTTCGGCCAATCAGAGCGCGCCCATCATAATTCACTGGATACCTGCGTCATCGCAGCTCACCACGTGGGGCAGATCAGCGACCGCTCGGTCATCGGGAGCCCCGATCACGATCCTTCGACGTCACCGACACGGCGCGCCCTCGCGCTTCACTCGCAACGTAAGGACTACTACTTCAATTATTAGGGCACTTTAATAGGAACTAACTAACTACTTGCTACGCGACTAGGCCTCAAAAATGTGCTTGAGAATCTCAACCTCGTCGTCCGACCACGTCTCGGGCTCCGTCATGTCCATCTCTTCCAGATCAAACTCGGGGCCAAGGTCGTCGGCGGTCAGCATCTCCATCTCTTCCATCTGAAGGCCCGGCTCGAGCTTGATCGTCACGTCGTCGTCTTCGTGCTTGACGAAGGCGTCATCCATGGATTCGCTCTTGATGCGAGCGTCCGGCGTGGTCGTCTTGGTCGTTGTCGTCGTCGTCGTCTTGGGCTCCTTCTTGACGGGCTTGGCACCGCGTCGCTTGGCGTCCGACTTTCGCTGGTTCTTGTTGTGTTTTAGCCGGTGCTCTTCGCAGAGCGTGTGGGCTTCGCCGCTAAACTTGAGCGTGCGCTCGTTGGGGCACCGGCCGCTCTTGTACTTGCAGCGGCCGCGGTACGCGTCCGACTTAAGCAAAT